TGCTGCCTTGCCTTTTAATGACCTTTTCCCACAATTCTTACCCCCACTGTATCAAGAGACAACTGTTTCAAGAGCTGCGCGATGTTGCATCCCCCTTCCCCCTTTGTTTCCATTACAGCTGTCACCACCGCTGACCTCAAACGCTAACAGCTTTTCCCGCCTTTCTGACACACTGTTGTCTCTGTTCACGTCGCGTTAGTGTTTCAGATCAATGCTTTTCCACAGGACTGGCCTCCTGAAATCACATAATTGACAGTCCTCGCCTCTCTTTCTAACATATGCACGTTATTGTAAGGTTGGTTTTACATGAGTTTCATTGATGACGAACATATTTTGTTCCTTTGTGCAGAGTCAACCAATTTGTTCGAGTCTCTCTTTCTTGAATATGTGTATCCATTGTTAGGCCTTGTACATTGTTTATCCTTTAGCCTTTGGCTTAATAGTAACGTGCTGCCTTGATAGTTGTTGTCATTGGATTTGACCTACAAATGACTGCTGGATTCAATCGGAGAAGTCATGAAGGCGAAAAATGCGACGAGTACGCTTGTCAAATAATCGTCCACGAATTTTGCACATGATAGAACAGAGCACTTACTTTAAAAAACATATTGATTAAGATTGAGCTCTTTATGTTTAGCGCTCGGAATCGTTCTACGGCGTTAGATTAGTCCAGGCTTATGAGTACCTTTGGAGCTACAGACTCGTCATACTGCAAAACAAATTATCCAAGACACTATGAATGCAACTCAGGTAGTCTAATTAAACTTACTTAAAAGACCTCAGTAGACCTTAATGGAAAAGTAAATCCACTGAGTGCCTTTTACAGTCAGCCTCATCACTATGACCTCTTGTCATCGTACAAAGCCTGTCACCTTCAACATATATTATATATGAGAGCACGGAATACAATGCATGTTTAAATAACTTGAACATATTTTTTTCGTACGCAAAGGCGATTAAAAACTTGATGGTACTCAGTAGTTCCACCCTCTGCATTCCGAACATAGAGGCACTATGAGAGTTAACGGCGGAGTTATTTTTGGATTCCCGGCAAGGAGGTTCCACAGTGGCATACCAAATAACTGCGACTTCAAAAAGCGGGATCATCTCCCATCGCGTTCAACTTCTGTGTTACCAATAGCCTGCATACATTCCGCCATAGTAGTTGTTGAGTGACGAACCTTTGTGGTGTTTGAAATGATTGCTCAGGACTCTCAGTGAATGATTTACGTTTCGTGTCGTCTAATAATGTAGACGCTCTGCAACCATTCAAAGATGTACAAAACCAGCG